GTTTCAGCTGGTCAGTGGGGTCGGTAAGCAATTGTCCAGTCGTGTCCTTCACTGGCATCATCGGGTTCATCCTTGCTCCACTCAGGCGTCGTGAGATATCGTAGAGGAGGCGTATATCGCCAGTGTTTGCGGCTTTCTCCCCTTCGTCGGCCAGGGAGTTCACCCACGCTCGCTTGTCCCGTCTGCAAGAGCGCTTGACTTCCTTCCCTAGAGCCGAGTACCGTTGACGGGCGTCGTTCTTGGCTCCTCTGGTTCTCGCCCGCTCTATCGCGGCTTTTGCTTCTCTACGCTCCTCAATCTTCCGCCAGGTTTCATCTGTGATCCACTCTTTCCTCTGGGTGCGCAGCTCACCCAAGTTGTTCTCGCTTGTTTCTATAAAGGCATTCTTGATGGCGGTCCATTGTTCTTCTACGCTGCCACAGCTCGAGTCTTCAACAAAAGACCTTTTTACCGCTGGATTTCAAGTCGGCGTGTGTTGAACCGCCGCCCGAGTCTCTCCTCCCGTCGCTGGATCTACGCCATGCGTAGGCGGATTTCGCCGATCAGAAGGTGATGGTCAGACGCGATGTCGGCGCTGCGTTTATTCCGGACATCAAGAAGGCTCCGTCTCCATTTTCGGCTGATGCAGATGTGGTCGATGTGATTTTCGGTATGTCCATCACGAGAAACCCACGTGACTTTGTGCACTGGCCGATGGGGGAAGAGCGAGCCCCCGATCACCATGTCGTTATTGCTACAAAATTCTGCACACAGCTCACCGTTCTCGCTCATTTCACCGAGACCATGGCGTCCCATGACACGCTCATAGTCCGTGTTGTCGGAGCCGATCTTCGCATTGAAGTCGCCAGTGTAGATCTTGATGTCACCCTTTGGAAGCTAATCCACGACGCCATTCAGTTGTCTGTAAAAAATCTCCTTGTCCTGTAGCTCGGCAGCATCGGTTGGCGCATAACATTGGATTATGGTAAGGTTACGAACCCGTGTTCTAGATCTGGCAACGATTATCATCTCATTAACAGGCTCCCACTTGATGAGCGCAGCACTTACCTGGACGCTAAGTAGGAGACCAACTCCACGATGGCAGGGAGCGTTTTCACCTCGAATACCAGAGTATAGTAGTACCTGTCCCGACGGCAGTTTGTGTTCTCCAAAGTTTGGCCAACGAACTTCACTCAGTCCCAGGATTTCTAGCTTCATGCGTCGCGCCTCGTTGGCGAGTTGTGCCAGTTTACCCTGCTGGGCTAACGTCAATACATTCCATGATCCAATTCATGTCCGTTGTTTTGCGCTAAAAGTCGTTGCCGTTATATCAGTTCGATGTCTTTCTCTGTTGGTTTTTGTAACAATTGTAAAGGTTTCAGAGACAGTAAGTGGTTGGCCTAAGGTCTCCTATCCGCGGTGATGGGGCTGTCATCTTAGGTGTAGCTTCCGGGGAAGAGTATTTCTTATTCAGCCGCTTGATGCCAGTCAGACGCTGTTTGAGCCGCACCTCCATGGTGAACAGACGCTTGGGTTGGCGAAGCAATTCCTCTATCACCGTGCTATGGTTACCGCGCCAGTTTTCGCGTCGCACCTTCTCACTCTGCATTTGTCGGATTGACAACATTGCCCAGGCTACGCCAACCAGCTGTGTCCATGTTTCAGCTGGCAGTCTTTTGTGATCATATGACTCGAGGAGGCGTGAGGTAGGAACTTGTGAGGACCGGAGCTAGGTATATCGCTCCTTCTAGATTGTTACTCACCATTTTGTAGCCCCGTTGGATATTCGGTTAAAATATATTAAAGTATACACGGTTGGCAAAATCAGGGTTATTGCCGGATATGACATTGCCTTTACCAATTATAGTTCTGGGGGGTTGTTCTATGAAAAATTTGGAAGATCTTTAAACTACTCTGAAGTTCTATGAACTGCTCATACATTCTATAATCACTTTGGAAGTTATATGAACATCTCAGAGGTTCTATGAGATTTTTTTAAGTTCTATGAACACCTCGAAAGTTCTGTGAACTGCTCGGAAGTTCTCCGAAGTGGATTGAAGATCTCCATAATGTCCTTTGTATATTTTAAAATTAAAACCACAAAACCAGAGAGGAGGAGGTATAGTAAGCCCCCATCCCCGCCTCTCTAACTATGCTTATGAAATCGAGCAATTGTAATTCATATGAACATACCAAATCAATAAGATTAGAAACTCCGAAGTTATTTCAGTTTGAAACTTTACTTCCATTTTTTACGTTCACATGTGGCGGTGGCCGAGAACATTTCTTCTTGTGAGAATAAACACGCGACGTAAACTTATTACGAATTAAAACTTTATTGCGTTGATCGCGGTGCGCATCACAAAACTTCTGGAATATTCTGACGTTTATGCTGCTCGGCTATCATGCGTCAACGGGTGACAGTTAAGACTGCCACCTGTGAGCTCAACGGCAGTGTTGGTAGGGTCGTTTGGTAGAGATGCCCATTCGCCCCAACATCTCCCCCCCTTAATACAGCTGGTAGGGATCGAACCGAATCGGCGGTCTTCTCATACGTGAAGAGCGACAAGGTACCTGAACAGCTGTTGGATTTTCGTTGGCTGACGATGATGATGGCACAGAGCTTGATGTGGAGGTAGATGTAAACCCAAATATGGGTGATGACGACGAAGAAGCTTGCGCAGATGCCTCGGGTGTCGGTACCCCAAGCAGTGTGGATTGCTCAGTAGGAACTCCAAGCGTGGTTGACGTCTGGTCGGTGACTGTAGATGACGATGCTAGTGGTGGCGATGCTAGTGGTGGTGTAGTGATAGTGGTTGCTGTTGAGCGTGGATTAGGTAAGTTCCATGCTCTAAGCAGAATGTCTATTGATAACATTTTGTCTGACTTTACCGGTTTCGTTGACGACTTGTCACCATGATGCTCGACAGCGCAATTGATTGAGATGCGATCGAAGCATACGCTTATCTTCCACCCATACTTTGAACATAACACGCCCAATAGGTTCCAGAGCTACACCGGGTGCCCATCTCCATTGGTTGTTTGAGTACACCTTTGCGTATACTGCATCGCCATTCTGAAAGGATCGCCGTTTAGTCATTTGTTCCTCACTATCTTCCACTACTGAAACGGTTGGTGGACGCAGCAAGTCCAGGCTAGTACGAATCTTGCGTCCAAACATAACTTCGGAGGGTGATCTACCATCAGGGGCCGAAAGGTTTTGGTGTTGATCTAAAAGACATCAGGAACACGTCCAAAGCTTCCTGAATGGCTACTTTCCCCTCTCTGATTTTCTTCACTGACCTCTTGAAGGTTTCCATGAACCTTTCTGCTTGCCCGTTGGATTGTGGGTGGTACGGTGCTGTTGTGATGTAATTGACACCATTCTCTAATTCGGCACTAACGAACTGTGGTCCGTTATCGCTGACCAGCGTTTCCGGCATGCCAAGACGAGAGAATAGCCTTCGAATGATGCTGATAGTAGCAGAGGAAGTGATGGTTTTTGTCCTGACGATTTCGATCCACTTGGAATACGAGTCGATGCACAGCAGGAAATACTCGCCTTCGATCGGTCCAGCATAGTCTACGTGCACTCGCTGCCATGGATGTGTTTTGTGCCATGGATGTGACTTGGGTGGGCTTTTGGCTACAGCTACGCGATGGCGACATGTGCTGACGTGTGCAACAATGTCTTCGTCCAGGGAGGGCCAGTAAACATAACTGCACGCTATTTCCTTCATGCGCTGCATTCCTGCGTTTAACTGCTTCCCCCATAAGTATTGCTCGTCCCGAGCAATTCCTAGTCTTCATGAATTGTCGATATTTGATGAGTACGAAGTCTAATATAGCTAACACGAAGATGGTGATAGTGCTTAGCGATGCGAATCAAATTTTGTGATTGAAGTCCACTTTTTCGAGGTGTTGTCTGTTTTTTAGATTGAGCTCATGTAGCTCCGAAAGGTTAACGTGCCGTTCTATGTGCAACGTTTTGATGTTTGCTAATTGCAAAGGTATAATTGATGGATGATCGAACCTTAGTTCGTAATTTTCGTAAAGTTCGTTGTTTATGTAGACCGAACAGTTGTGAAACGTTACCATATGAATGCCGGTGAACCTTCTGGGTTTGATGCCACAGGTGCTGTTGATGATTACGTCTTGGTGGACGGTTAGCTCCAACAATGTACCTGAAGCTATCATTTTTGTTTCTGCTGATTGTGATTTTTCTGATAATGGACATTGTCCATGTCTTCCTCTTAGAAGTGGAGCTTCGCACGAATGGTTGCTGATGTCTATTAACTGCCTTCTCTCACATATTGTGGCTTGATTGGTTTCTCGACATTGAGGTTTGATGGCTAGGATCTGTTCCGGGTTGATGAATACTGTGTTGTATGTTACTTTGACTGAATGGTTGAAGAGGGGTAAAGGTTCCATGATAACCATCTCGTAAGTTGTTGGGTTGAATCGTGGGATGTTCACGCATATGATGATCGATGAGCCTCTGTAGAGTGTGGTGGTCGTCAAGAAATTGCTGGCTTCGTCTAGGTGCTGAATTGTTAATCCCTGATCTTTGATCTCCTGAATTATGATTTCTACTTCCTTGGGTGTGAGTATAAATTTATTTATGATATTTAATTTTGATAACATGATTGCATATTCTATTGATTTTAAATTTTCTAGAAATGAATCTAATTGGAACATAATTGATATTTTTTGAATTTCTGATAATACATAATCGTCTTTTTCCAAAATTTGTTTCAACGTATTTTGATGATTTCTGATCTCATTGTTTATTATATTAAGTCTATTTTCAAACTTGGAATTTATTCTAATTTGTCTATTATTTTGTTTTATAACAGCGTTTCCTGTCTTTCTGATTTCATCAAGATTATTATTGATTACATTTAAATCTTCTGCATCTAGATTTCCTGTTATGTATTTAATTGTGCTTCCTAATACAAGGTTGCAAATATTCGCATCATTGATTTCTCATTTTGCTTTCTTTGACGATAAGGATTGCCGTACTCACCATGGCATATTTGACCGATGGGGCAATGAACATAGATGTCAAATCTTTAGGTTAAGTGAGTTCTCACCACTCACACTGAGTTGCTTGAGCAGCAAAATGCTCTCACTCTCGATCCAGTTCATCTGTCTGTCAAATGCTCAAATATTCATTCTCAGAGTGTCGAAAACAAAGCGCGTGATAAAATCGAAAACCAGAATCGCGAGTTTTAATATCAATATTTTGAGTGATAATTTGTCACCATGAGTGCAAAACGAACCCTGCAAAAGGATATTGTCCTGAATGTGGTTGAGCAGATAATTGGATCCGATGGGAAAACTCAACGATTCCAATGCCGTGCGAGTTCAGACGAAGAACAACCATGCAGCTACGCACAGGTAACGTTTGTTCCTGGCAACTTTAAGCGCCATCTGATAAGTAGCCATCCGGATATTGCGAGAGAACTCGGATTTTCATTAGACGAACCTCCGGCCAAAAAACCACGCAGCTCCAAATTATCTGTGGACACTTCACGGAACGAAGTGCTGCTGGGGACTTTGCAACTGGCAACTGGCCACAATATGCCTCTTCGGTTTCCAGAATGGGAAGGAGTAAAAACTCTTATCTTGCCCTTGTGGAAGGCAGCTGGATTCAACTTTACTCGCGATAAGCTCGCCAAGTTGATTACAACAGCGGCTCAAATTATGCGATCAATAATCCAGAAGGAGTTGAAACAGAGGATAATTTGTTTGAAGATCGACTCTGCCTCCCGTAAAGGCCGGTCGGTTTTTGGAATCAACCTTCAGTACATAGATGAAAATGGGAACGTGTGTATTAGGCATCTTGGTAAGTGAACATCTGAAAAATCGATATTTATTAGGAATTTTTATGTTTTCTTATTGCGAAAAGATAACAAATTATGAAATTTTTTTTGGTCATGCTTTTTCAGCTGTTCGAGAGATGATCGAACGTCAAACAAAGGAGAACTTACGAAAGGTTCTAGAAGAAGAACTGCAACTAATCGCTGTTAGCCTTGAACAACTGCTAACTGTTACCCACGATAATGGGGCAAACATGTTGGCTGCTGTAAGGTGCCTCAGAGCTCTCCTAAAGTTTTGCGAAGAAAGTGAAGATGTACCTCTGTCCACTGTCTTTCGGAAAGATGATAGCTTGCAGCATTACATTGATGATGGCAGTGCTTCTGAAGCCGAAGATAGTGACAAGGAAGAACTGGTCGAAGATTCAGGTGAAGCGGATGAACCCATTTCTGACGATTTTAGCAACGGACAAGGGGATGCTGAGTTCGATTTGCAAGATGAGCCGGACGATATTGATGTTGATCTTCTTGAGAGCATCAGATGTGGCGCCCATACCGCACAATTGGCAGTATGGGATGTTATTAAGCCATACAAGCGGAGATTAAACGCAATAAACAAATCGTGTATAAGGATGCGGCACAAACAGTTTCAGCAGTTTTTCCGGCTCCACAAAGTTCCACTTCCTCCAAAGGTCAACGAAACTCGTTGGAATGTCTGGTACATCCTGCTAAGGTATCTTCGATCACTGAAGGATGGTCCTTTCTTGAGCGTATTGCAAAGCCAGGATTCTTCACTAGGTAAGTTTATAAAAAAAAGTTAGATTTTGAAGTGTTATGTACCATCTTAAAATACTAATACATGTACTTTTAGACCTATCACGGCACTGGCACTTTGTTGATAAATTTTGTGTGGCCTTTGAACCAATGTTCGTTCTGACTATGAAGTTGCAGAAAGACCACGTGCCCAGGGCTGGCAAATGTCATTTTCAATGAAAGATCTCACGCGATATTTACAGAGATACTTCTGTCACTATCATTGGATGAGAAAACGATGAAAGAGATTTTCTTAAAAATCTCATGGAATTTTTTGTCATGACAGAACGTGACAGTGTTGTGATCATCGTAATTACTAGCTCATTTAATGCTATTCAAGTTACTTGTACCGAGGAAATCTTAATAATATATTAACTCTACCGATTACATACGGTTGTTTGCTTGAATTCGTCTAAATCAGTTAGAAATGTTGATGTCAAAACCGCATAAAAATAATTCTCATGAGTGCTTGATCGTTGAAAAATGACAAGAAAGCTAATGATAGGTAGTTTCGTCTCGTGATAGTGAGAGGAACTGTTTTCTCATCGTCACATGACGGCCATGATATTTACCAGCTCTGGACGTGCCTCTCTCACAGTTTTATGTAGATTGGCTGACGTGTATGGCTAAACTGAATGCGGCTAAGGATAATACACTTGCGTTGAAGCTTTTCAAAGCAATGGGATTGAGATTGGAAAAGTTGAATACGAACATGGCTTTCAAGGCATGTTTATACTTGGACCCTCGATTCAATTACATTGGATCCAGACGGCTGTCCAATGACGATAAAGCTTCCGTGCTGGTAAATGAAAATATCCCACTAAATAATGTATATTTTTCAACGTCAATTTGTTTCAGAAATACCTTATTGCTTTGAATAAACGGTTGGACGAGATATCTGGAGCTGATACTCAGGCTACGGAAGGAGAAGATCAAACTCAAATTCAAAACGACATTGTTGAAGACTTTCTTGCTGGGCTTTTTGAAGAGGATAAAGATATTGCTGCGCCTGGTCGAGAGGCTTCTGACAGTTTGCTAGGAGAACTCGTAAAACTAGAATCTAGACCGAAAGTCAACATCACTACAACTCATCCAATCGATTCTAAACAAAACTCAACAACGTTCCAAGCGCAACCAGGTACTTCAAAAGATAAGATGTCTCCTACTTCGTTCAGTTCGATTTCTTTTGACATTGTTGACTATTGGAAGAAAAAGAAACTAATAAGTCCAAGACTTTTTCGCCTGGCTAAAATTGTTCTAGCTGTGCCTTCTTACTGTAGAAAGACTTTTCAGCCAGCTGAAGTTTATATTAACAGATTCAAGAATGCGCTTGAGTGACACTTCCGTAAAGGATCTTATGCTGTTAAGAATGAATCAAGATTTGCTTCCGAAGGTTGTTGATGCAATAATCGAAGTTGGTGACATGTAAACCATACTTGTTCAATTCAAAATCAATTCCAAAATGAATGTTTCAATCCTCCGTATGCTTTTAGACTCTACGAAATGTAAAATGAATTAAATATGCGAAAAACCATGTTTTTCAACTACTTTTGAATTAAACTTTAATAAATAAATAAACAACAATTAATGCTTTTTTAACTTCATCCTCACTAGTACACAAAAAAAAATGAAATGAAAACCTTGGAAAATGGCACAGAGGTCCAACTTGAAGCTTTTGGTTTCCCTTTTATAGTGCCAACACAACAGTTATGGAGAAGATACTAAACTATTTGTATCCATATCTAAGAATTATCAGCTTAAAACTGATCTTAGCTAACCAAACATCATTGTGGTAATGCTCTTCGGCAGAGGAACTTTGCCATTAGCGCGAAGCATTTTTAGTCCACTGAAGATGGCGCCGAAAATAGATGCAGGAGTAAAAATAGGTTGGCTCTCTTCCAATGATCTGTTGTATTGCCCTAACATTAGTTAAAAAAGTAGGTATTAGATTTTGAGATATGCATTGATGAATGTGATAGGGAAAGTTGGTAAAAATGCACATTTTCTGCATATTTTTAAAATAAACTAATGAAGTGCTTTTAAATTAGTTCAAGTTAAAAGTACGCGGTGTTAAATTTATTCCATAATATTTTTTAAATTTAAAACCACAAGTGCCCATTTTTCCTGCCGTGTCCGTCTTTACCGGCATTCTCTACAGGAACTTATTAAGTCACGGCATAAATATCATAACAATTGTGTAAAATTGTATGTGGAATAATCATTAAGCCATAGAGATTAATAGAAAAATACAGAAAATACAAACATACCTTATAGCAAATATTGCAGTAATTTAAACTGAGGTCTTCTTCAATGCTAAACAGGATGATGTTAGTTTTTTGGCTTCATTCAACCTAAAATGGTATGATACTGTAATATTCTAAACATAAATCATGTTTAATATGTGTGTATATATTGCTTTTAATGCCTTGTGCCGGTATTTTAACGATTGGTGACAGCTATTCACGCTTATCTGTGCTCTATTTTTCAGTTGAGAGAATTTGAAGCTCGGCGTTAGCTCATTGCACTGGATCTGGGTAAGAAAACTTTCCCGTAAAGTGCTCGTATTCGTGGAACAGATGCCACAGCACTCATAACCATATCAGTCCACCGGCGACGTGAGCACCGACGTGGGCTAGCATCTCCGGCTTCGGTTCAATGGTGAAAACATCGTGTCCATGGCGGACGATCTGGTTTTGAACGGCCGCTGTGGTAGCCGGGAACCTGGCCGCATGTAATAGTAATCGTCCCATCAGAAGAGCACGGGAGAAAAGCATAGCTATTTTCCGGATAAATGGGATAAATTCAATCGGCACTTTTTAATTTCAATTGCAACATGAAAATTAGATGTGGCTTGATATTTTTCAGTTCTGACTTCACAAATTTGTCTTCCAATTTGACAACACCGCTTCTAGGTTGCTATGATGTTTTTTTTTTGATGAAGAATAATTTTTCCCGTTTTTCCCTGATAGATTTTTTCCCAGCCAACTCGGAAGTCACTTTCTGGTTGCCCGATTAAACAGTTGTAACAACACTTGCCAAAACATAGAATCATACTTGGCTAGTACTTGTGAAGCGCTTCGATTTTCATCTAAACAAACAATAGTGGAATTTAGAAAAATTCAATTAATTTTCAGCATTTTGTATACCAAACACTGTGATTAAATTTTCATGAAAAGACCCCTGCTAACTCAACTAAAACTGTCGACTCTGTAAGACCTGTTATTTCTCATTGCACAAGTTAAAAAATATGCGCTCCACAGCATACCCATAATCGCAAGTAAGTCACTGTATCTTATTATATATGAGAATATCGCCGAGAGTGCTGATCAAACATCATGCTGAAAATCGGCTGGATATTTTCATGCAACTTTTTATCATATGGATGAACATTGTTCATGCTAAAAAAAAGAATTGAGAGCTTGAATATGCTATTTATCAGGAGAAAACAGACAGGTAACTCAATGATCGACGAAGTGTTCATCCTACCAGCGGTTGAGTGTGTGAGGAATAAGACGCAGCAGATAAAAACAACCAAATCAATCAACACTGAGAGAAATTCAATGGCATTCGTAACCATTATCATTTGTCAGCAACCTTGTGTTAATGGATCTTTTATATCTGTTTGATTTAACATGGAATGTATTAAAGATGAATTTAATTATTTTAAGTTTCATTTGCATAATTTCTGATAAATTGTTCGTTGAATTTTTTAACTGACTGATTACGTTTTGCAAGATTGATATTGAGATTTCAAAATGTGAAAGATCTATTACATGTAGTAGTCTATCGTAGCCTGCAATTATTCTTCCCTCCCCCTTTTGAGAATCAACGCTCCTGCGTTGTCGGTGATATCGTAGATTTGGATGTATTTTTGATGGGATAGGATGAGGAGTGTGGATAGGATGCATGTGAATAAAATCCATTGACAATTTACCATCTCGTCTTCCTAAAATATAGATTGCATTAGTTCCGTTTTATATTTTCTTTATGAATTTCCCGTCCAGAGTCAGCAATGAGTGTTCTGCCTTTGTCTTCTGCAACTCGAAAAATATTTCTTCTTTGTTTTTTGTTTGATACCTTGAACTCTATTGTAGACTGTTTTATTTTCTTCTATGGGAGGTTGTTCTTCTCTACTTTTGTTATGGAAGGCTAAATTTTTACTTTGTGTTTTTTCATTTTCCAAAATAACCTCATCATAGAATTTGTTTCTCTCCTCTAGCATCAAATCAACGCTAAGAGGCCGCTCGTGTCCGGCCTTCAAACCAAAGAATACCTCTCTCGGTTTTAAACCGGTAGCTGAGTGAATCGTATTATTGTACAGAGTACAAGCTATTAGAAATATTTCTTTGTGAGAGAGATCCGCGTATTGCTGTTTAATGCATCGAAAGATTTCAGCTAATGTTGAGTGAAATCTCTCGATCATCCCGTTACTTTCGCTATGATTCGCGGGCACGAAGTGCATCTGAACGTTCAAATTATTTGCTAGCCCTCTTATCTCAGCTGATCGTAGAGCTGGTTCGTTGTCGCTTACGATCAAGCTTGGTGTGCCGTGTGTGGAAAATAGTTTGAGCAATGCTTTTCTTATGTCCGTAATTGTTCTTGATTTAATCGGAATTATGATGCCAAATCTTGAAAACTTGTCTATTGCTGTCAAAAATTTAAGGGGTTCAGATAAAAAGACATCAATGTGAAGTATTTCGAATGGTTTTTTTGTGTTCGGTGTGCTGCCTAAACGAATTTTGTATGGATGTCTGTCGTATTTATTTACGTTACAGACTTCGCATACTTTGATAAACTGTTCAATTTTAAATTTCATTTTCGGAAAATAATATCTCTTTAAAATTTGTTGTTTATTTTCCCAAACAACCCTGTGAGCTGTCTTATGTGTTTGTTCGATTATGAGGCCTTGCTCTTCAGGTGTTTTCAGATCTATTTATTAGAAGTTTTTGAGTTATGAGAACCTTAAAAGTTTTACATCTGCTGAAATAATTCTTGTATTCTATTTGGATGGTATTCATCACATTTTCAGGACACAAGATGCAATTTACTTTGTTCAAATCTATGTAATCTTTAAATATTCGTATTATTGCAGGTACACCAAAATTCAGTTAAGTTATAGTTCTACGGAATATTTTTGGAAATATTTGCTCATACGTATCCGGTTCATCCGGGCCAATCTTAAGAATGATCTGGTTGCTGTAGTAATTCAGAGCCAGTTCTGTACATTTTATAAATTCAGAATCATCTGTGTCTGCTGAGTGTACGCTCATATCATCAGATGAATCATTCTCGTTTACATTCAATTCATTGCGAATTCGGGATAAGCTATCGGCAACGGTGTTTTGTTTCCCGGGCCGGTATTTGATCTCATATTCGAATTCGCTGAGTGAAAGACGCCAGTGTACCAATCGATTATTGGTGTCTTTCAAATTTAATCCATATGTCAGCGGCTTGTGGTCTGTATACAAAGTAAACTTGCGTCCATACAAATATGGCCTAAAGTACTTACATGCCCACACTACTGCTAACAATTCTTTTTCGATCGCGGAGTATTTTTCAATGTCCTGGAAGCAAACGCTATCGGTTTATTGCTTCCGATCTGACCTTGTGAGAGGACTGCTCCAACAGCGAAATTTGAAGCGTCCGTTGTCAAAATAAAAGGTTTTGAGAAGTCAAGATAGTGTAAAATATCGCTTCCCGATAAAATTCTCTTGCACTTCTCGAAGGCTGCAACAAATTCCTTCGAGTGCGTAATCGATTCTCCTTTTCTCAAAGCATTTGTTAACGGTTTTGCTATCTTAGCAAAATCACGAATAAATTTCCTGTAGTATCCTATAATTCCTAGGAAACCACGGAGTTCTTTTTCATGCTGCGGAAGAGGCCAGTTTTGGATAATTTCGATTTTATCCGGATTTAGTTCTACAAATTGGTTTCCCGTATGTGAACCCTTTACATTTCGGACTGTTGTTGGTGTGGTATATCTGCAATTTTTCAAATTTACATGTTTTTCAGAGAGATAACTACGGTTGCTTCCTGAATCAACTAAGAATTTTAATTCCCCTTTGGTGGTATTTACAGTGATATAGGGAATGAAATTGTTTACGTCATCCCCGTGGCTTCGTGCCCCAGCTGAAAATTTAAGTCATCTATGGTTTACTGCTCAGTTTGGTTTGTTGCATTTTCACTGTTATCTGTCGTCAGCTCATGTGTCTCGATGGCATGAGTGTTTACGTCAGACTCTGTTGTTCGTCATAGTATTGGTCATATTCTGGATAGTAATAATTATAATCATAGCCGTAAACTTCTTCTACATGAAAGTTCGGCTTATTCATATAATTGATTTTATGAGTTCGGATAGAAGGTGATGCTGTACGTGGATGTTGGTTAGTTGAGGAAATAGGTTTGTGTGTGAATGAATTTTGAGTCGTTGGGAAAGGTCCAGGTCTGAATGGAATCGGGTTTGGATTCATTCTTTGGCTGGGGAAGTATGGTGGTCTGTTTGGTTGGGAAGATGGTTGGTTTTGGGGAAATCTGAATGGTTGTTGTGGAAAGGGTGCATTTGGAGAATGATACCTAGGAAATTGTCTAGGTTGTGGGAATCTGTGGGTTCGAATTTGAGTTGGATGTTGCTTGTTAGTTGTAGGAGTGTGTGTTTTAAAAGGATTTCTGACGTACGTGTAATTTGTTTCCTCTAAACAGAGTCTCAATGCTTCTTTAATACTTTTTGGAGCTTGAGCTCTAATTATGGGTCCTACAGGCTCTTTCAACCCTGCCACGAAAACTTTCAAACCAATTTCTTGGTAATATTTTGGCTTAGCGGTTCTAACATCCGCATTTTCTTCATTTAAATTGAGTTGATTGACCAAAAGTGTTACCATGTGTGCACTTTGCGGTAAAATTCCTCAAAGGTACCGATCTGGTAAAGCTTGAACAGGTCTCTAGTTAAAGAGACTTCGTCTCGCTTGTCGTTATAATGAGTTATTAAGCTAGCCTTAATTTCCTTCCATGAGAGGTCAGTACCGTACAGTTCCAAGACGGTATCTGCGTCTCCGATTATTTTAGACCGGATGATTTGCATCCAGACGTTAAAAATTGGTGAATTTTTAGCGGTTTCCAGCACTGGTAATATGCTTTCCACGCTTTTTAAAAATTGATGAAGTTTGATGGGATTTCCATCAAAAGTTTGAAGATCTCTCAACACCGACGGTGTTTGGAGACTTTTTAACACAGTTTCAACCGGTGTCATTGAATTGCTTGAATTTTGCATTGGGGCGTGCCCCTGATTGAAGATCGACGCAACTGGGTTGCGACGTCCCGAATTTCGCTGTGGAGGGCATCGATCTGCGCCTGCCACTGATAGTTCTCAGCGAAACCACTCACTTGCTCTGGATTATCATCGTTATCCCCGAGCTGTTCACTTTCACGTATTTCACGAATTTCACGCTCTGTTTGAGCCACTCTTTCCTGCTGCGAAGCAAAAAGGCGTTGTTGCCTTGTTTCTGGCATATTTTTAGAATAAAATCTGAGAATCACTAATGACTATTATTAAAACTAACTTTAAAAATTAACTCGTTTAGAGATTTCACTTTTTCAAATATTTATGAATCTTGATAAAATTGCTTGCTTAAAATTTCACTTGTTGATAATATTTTCTTCACTAAAGGATTTAACACTTAAGATTACTTAAAAATAGAAAGTTTTCCTACTCACCCTTGTGAAGTCTTGAAGTCTCCAATGATTGCTCTCAAATCGACAATATCCGTTCGTCGATGGGATGATTCCGGAACAATCGCTGGAAGCACTGTAGGTTACTGCGGAATTTCAACACTTCGGACACTAATCTCACGATGTACGTTCGCGGATGCTATCAAAGCGGTACACAAAGTTATCAAAAAATCCACGCCGACTGCGCCACTTAAGAACTTGACCGGAATTTTCGGGTTTTAAAAAAATTAAAACTAATACGACCTACACCGTTCACGATACAAACTGTAATGAATTTATTCTCAACAATTAGTTCCTAGCTGCCCTAGTTTGGTCCCTGAAAACTGCTGGCCTTGCACCTACACACTAAGATTATTTTACAAATTTCTATAAAATTTTACCGAAATCTCAACAGCTGAACGTTCGGTAAACAATTTTACAGTTTTCCTGTAATTATTTACATATATCAGTGAAAAATTCACAGATATTTGTGAAAAACTACAGGAAATCTGCGAAACTGTTTACCAAACGTTCAGCTGTTGGGATTTCGGTAAAATTTAACAGATTTCTGTAAACATTTCTAAGTGTGTAGTAACGATGGTCTGACTGTTGCTCTGCCCGTCGCGATATCCGATCCTCCGCATGTGTCCAACGTTGGCGACGTTGGTGCTGACTCGGCTGCTCCGGTGTTGGTGTTTCCATGCGTTGATAGGCTAAGTGCTGCTGCTGTGTTTTCAATTCCTGTTGCTGAGTTGGAACTGCGTTTAACTTATATATATATATATATATATATATATATATATATATTTTTTTTTTTTTTGAAAATTTGGGCCTTTCAACATATCAACAAATCAGCCTGGTTTTTTTTTCTTCATTTTTGAGCTACGATTTTTTGAAATTATCGTGTTTAGATATTTCAAGTCTAGGATCAGAAATTGAAATAAGTAAGTAATGTAACCATGTTACATTCGATATGTATCAATGGAGACGCAGGGTAATCTAGTCGTATTGGAGTAATGAGCGAAATTTCTAAACATGATAATTAAAAAAAAAAACATAACTCTAAAACGGAGAAAAAAGCATCGCTAGTTTGTTGATATGTTGTGCAGAAAAGCCCAAATTTTCAAAGAAAAATATAAAAACGTGTTACGCCTATTGTCTACACACCATGAAAACCATAAAAACAAATAAAATCAAAATTCTTCTATGCTAAACTCCAATTAAAAAAAAATATATTTATCTGAAAAGTACTTTCATTTGATATTTTCATTGAATGATGAATCGGTGATCGGTGAAAGGGAAATCACAAATCGAGTGCATGTTGAGATATTGAGGTCGTGAGAGCAAATTTTCTCTCTCAAATTTGAATTTTTGGCTCTCTGGGAGCTGGTAGTAAATCAGGTAAAACTGTATGGGGAAAAATCATTTTTATTTAATTGTAGCTTGTTTAACAATAATTTCCGGGAAAAAAATAAACTACAAAGTCCCTGATTAATTTCTTTAGGTTGTCGTTCACTTTTTTTGACCTGAATATGCACCGAAAGCGAATTATTCCCACTTCTCTCAATTTCTGTATGGGAATTTTTATCACTTTCTACCAGCGGAACAGCGCCATTTCTGTGGAAATTTGTCGATCAAAATGATTAATTGAAACAAGTCTTTGCTTCAAATGAAATGAAATGATGATCTTGACAAACGACACAAGCGATAGCCAAGTCATACTTGGATCGAGGAATGATCACCGTGACTTGAAAATGCAGAACCCTGATTTAGATTCCTGGTCTAATTTTTTCAAATAAACACTCTGAGATCGACAAAAAACAAATCATGGATAAAAAAAAAAAACTTCAATACGTTTTGCAAAGCAAGCTAATTCAAATAAACCGAAGATACTTTGGAGACCTTTAGGAAATTACGTTTTCGCGTTATAAAAAATCCAAAGAGCGAAACACAAAAATTATTATAAAAAAATATTTATTAAGATGAAATCAATCAAGGACTATTGGAAAAGACTCGTCCAAAACCTATATGAAAAGGAGAAATACGAAAAAAAAATCCTAAAAATGAACATGAAACCAATATAGCAACAGAGCACAAGAATCAAAACGACCATCGACTACATTTTCAAGCACCACAATCTTGTTTTCATACTCAACCAAGCATTTTCCGGTTCTCAAATGACCATTGCACTTGTATTCGTAAAAAAAAAGCGAAAACAATAGAGCTCTGCGGTCATCAGTTCTGCTATCGCTTCGGCGGCTGGCTCTACGGGTTGCTTAAATTTTTTTCGAATCTTTTCCCCACCATCGCCAATAGGAATAGCCACTGGCCTGGCAATGCAATGGCAATGTAGGAACCCATATTTAAACTCCAGCGAGCCCGGTTAGTTGGGTCATTTTGAATCTCTTTCATGTTTTATCGTCCTCCGTGAATCAGATGTTGTTTTTTTTTGTCTCAACCCTATCCTCACTCGATTGTATTTTTTAATTCCAACAGCCGCGGCCGGACCTTTTACGAAAAAGCACTTGAAACACGGGAAACTCCCTCCCTTTGGGGTTTGTTGTTGCGGTCCAGAAGAGCCGCAACCGGTCCCAGTCAGCCAGCAGTGGGAAAACAGGAAATACTCCATTTTTGGTAGTTTAGACTCCTCTGCAGCTGCTGTGGTGCGATGCGATGGGGCTGTTGTTGTTTCAAGTGGCGGGTAATCGTTTTGCTAAAGCGAGAAAATCAACTGGAGGCGAACAGGATTGCAGTATGTAGGTAGGTCGGTAGGTGTAGCAAAAGCAAGTGAAATGGTAGCCAGAGAAAAAAAAAAAGTGGTGAAATTCTCCGCCTGGCTGTGGTTGACTCGAACCTATAACGGAAAAAAAGGATATGTGGTTCAAATAGAATGGGTGAAATTGTTCAACGACTACGACGACGGTGACGATGTAAGGAGAAAAAGGGAAACTCCAACGCTTTGCCTCGCACTATGAACGTATAATTAATTTCTGTTGTCATCGCTTTGAAATTTAAATTACATTTTTTCCCTCTCACATACAAGTGAATATAGACGGATTTCACGCCAACTCATCCAGTGGTTGGCAGCACCCTCTCAGAACCTTATGGAACTTTGTGGGTGTGGAGACTTTGCAATTTTAAACCAACTTTGCGTACTTATTTTTTTCAAAATTTATCTCGCCTAACATTTGATAAGGGTCAAAGTTTTTTATCGATTTTTTTTTCAAATCGATATAGCTTAAAAATGACAAGCCCTACAAAAAAGTGATGTATGGCGAACTTTTAGCAAATAATCTGAAATTTTATAAAAAAAATTAAATAAAATAAAAAATCGGTTTTTACACTCTAAAAAAATATATTTAAAAATTAAAAGTCATTTTCC